TAGTTTTATTGTTCTAATATCCCTTCCTTTAAATTTGCAGAATGAGGCTGTGATAGACTATGCTCTTAAGAGGAGAGATGTGCAGGTTGTACCCTGTGGTTTAGATTTTGGTCGCCCTGGGTGAGTTGGTTTTCTATTTGCAAAATTTTATAGGGAAATTTACATGCATACCACTCAATTCTTTTGCATTTACATCCATAAAACCTAAAGTTTGATTTTATATTTATAACTCCTTGGTATTAAATACCTGTACATGAAAAATGTGTATTTGACTTTTAAAATGTTATTTATATTGGTATTTTTAATGTGATGTAAAAGATTTGAGTGTTATGTAGTTAAATATGAAAGTTTAGGTGTGTGTTATGTTGTATAGTATTTATGCAAATGCCCCTATTTTGTGATACCATCAACATCAACATAATCTTTAATGAGATTCTTTGCTAATCAGCTTCATACGTTTCCGAGAGCATCGTTTTCACGTTTCTTTGGACAAGACGAGAAGGTTCTACCCCCATGTGAACAACATGGATGGATTCTTTGTTGCTAAGGTACGAGTTTTTTCTAAATTTCCCTTATTTTGTCAAAATATGTTCATTTTGTGCAAATTGGTTTTGAAATTGTCTGGCATTTATTTTTTATTACTGGATTTATCAATTTATTCTATTTTTTTAAAACATGATTAATTATGTTGCCTTCACCATGAGAAAACCTAGCTGAAATACTTGCACATGATTAATCCGCATTGACATATGTAACACCTGAACTATTACATTTTACATTTATACCGTCCAAATATTTCATTTCACATAAAAAAATAATCATTATTTTAACTTTTAAAAATTGAAATACACCTTTTCATACATAGGCAAGATGACATGAATATAGAAGTTAAAGTTTAGGTGCTAGATATCTAAATACATAGGGAAACTTAATGGTATGCATATAAATCTTTTATTTTCTTAGATGACATGAATCTACCATTGTTACTCTTTTTCGTCTTTTCGCAGTTGAAGAAGAAAAGCAATTCCAAACCAGCAAAGGCTGAACCCTCCACGGCTTCTGTAAACGCAGGCGAAGAAATGGTCGTGGAGGACAATGAAAATGAAAAGACCATAAAACCATAACAGTCTCAAACGCGGCGACAAAGCAGGATGAAGCTTCTAAAATCGGCACCCAAAAAGATGGGAAAGTAACTTTCCAAAAGAGCATTATCAATGTTAAAAATGACAAATTTAGATCTCTTAAGAAGAGTATTTGGAAGCGAAAATCTCAACATACAGGCGACGATCAAAATAACGGAAAAGACTTACACCGCCCGAGCATGGGCCCGAGCATGGCCAATGCAAGCAATGCAAGAAAGAAGCGCAAATTTCCATCAAGAGAAGAAATTTCACGAGCTAGGTAAGGGGCTCACACCTTTCTAATTTCATTGCTTAAAAATCTGTATTTGTTCCATTAAAAATGTATTACTTTAATTGTTATGTAACTTTAAGAAACCGAGGTAATATGTGGCAAAACATATTGTGATATTAAAAAAAAAAAAGACTTTTGCATTCCAATTGCATAAAACTTTGAATACAACGGCTATTTATCTCTCACTCACACTAACAATGAATATACCTCCTTTATATTCCTTTTTCTGGTATTTACATACATACCCATCCCATGTATTTATATATCTAACACCTAAACTTTACTTTTTGCATTTATACCGCCAAAATCTTTCATGTCACATAAAAATTACCTTTTTTTTAAATTTTACTGACCTTTATTAAAATTCGTGCTGATGTTTTACAGGGAAGTGAAGAGGAGAGCCCTGAAGAAGCAGAAGATTTAATCTGCAATAGAATAGAGTTCAAATCAAAAGGCTTGAATTGATTTTTGTACTAGAATCAACTAATTTCTTTATGATTTTCTTACAAGCAAAGTTTTGAATTGTATTAATGATTTTTGGGTTCAAATTTTGTGCCTCATGAGGCTTAAATTAATTCATTAGTTCTGTGTTAGATATGTATATGCTTAAGAATTCTGTGGTATGTATGTAAAAACCCAATAAGATATGGGGTATTTTTACATGTATACATGATAATTCTTATTTATTTGCATCTCTAACTCTTATACTTTAATTTTTTAACAATCATGAAAATTTTTAAAAGCCAAATGCACTTTTTTATGCTTAGGAATATAACATTAAGATGATATAAATGTAAATATCAAACTTTAGTGGGTAAATATGTAAATCTATAAGAATTAGGCATGGATGATAGCATATTTAATGAGGAAGTTATACATAGATTTTTGGCATTAATATCAATAATGAAGGGCTTAGGGTATGGTCATTTGAACGTTGTAGGTAAACTGAAAGAAATTAAATTCAACGGCTAGTAAATTTAAAATCTATCAAAAGCCGTTTATAATTCCAAAATTCAGTAAATTTTAAAAATATATATATTCTATTAAATGTGATAAATTTTTAGATTTAAAAGATCATATTAATATATATATATATA